AAAAATTTTTTCATTCAAAAAAAAAAAAAAAGCACCTTTTGTTTTGTTTTTTGAATGTCCAGAGGACCAGACTTCACTTTTTTAGATTTTTCTACCTGGATTATTGAGCATGCATAAGGAAAATACCAGACCTATGTATTTTTTTTTTATTGTAGAAAAAATAATTAAGTAATGAAGCAAAAAGCTAAAGTGAGTATTTGCCAAAGAAATTACATGAAAACTGCTAAAACTAGTACTTTTGTTGTTGTTTGCATAACACCCAATAAACTTCAGTTTTATGTTACGTTTAGTCAAAGCTTGAAAGAGCTGCTGTGGAGGAACCAAAGAGCCGCATGTGGCTCCAGAGCCGCAGGTTGCAGACCCCTGGTTCAGACTGACTGTGGTTCAGCGTTTCAGATTCAGATTAACCTCAGTGCAAAGAATCACTGAGTTAAAAGGTAAAACTGACAAATTTGAGATTTTTTTCAGAAATGTATTATACCAGGATCTAGAACCAGCATCTCTGTCATTTGTAATGTTTTTGCTTTTTATCAGTGTTTTTCAGACCAGCTCCCTACTTTAATTTCCTTTACGAATTAAAAAAAATAAGAAAAATATTTATTACCAGCTACAACAAAGAGGGCAAGTGGGCTGACAATGTCCCTCGTCTCTGAAAAGTGAAGGTTGGTTGTTTTTGAGTGTTTTTCTGGACTGGAATTGAACAGGGAAGGCAAGAACATTTTTAATGTTTGTGGTGCAAAATATTCACGTCGGTAGGACTTACACTGTGTATAAGAACAGAGTTAGTTTTATTTATTTTTCCTTTTGCTTGTTTGAGGCAGCACAGAGTGATGGATCCTGGCACGTGAAGGGAGAAATTAAAACCATGACCAGGAGCAAAGGCGGAGCCAGAAGATGGACAAAATTTAATCTTCAGCCACAACAACGAACACGTAAATTTTTTGAAGAAACCATGTACATGTATACATACAGTAGTCCCTCGTTTATCGCGGGGTATCCGTACCCTGAAGCCCCGCGATAAGTGAAAAACAGTGAAGTAGGAATAGTAATACAAGTAGTAAGTAGTAGCTTATTTCTGGCTGCACTATAGGCCATGCCCACTTCTCCGCTCTGCATGGAGATCAGCTGATCAGCTGCAGGAGGAAGCTTCTCCCCAGCTGTAGGTTGCACACAGGTGTTTTTTAAAATCCAAGCCGATCGTGCGGCTCATCCATCAATCAGCCAACTGTGTGTCATGTCCAATCTTACTTTGAAAAACCGTGATAGAGCGAGTTCGCGAAAAACGAACCGCTAAGTAGCGAGGTACTACTGGCAATTTGCTTTTTTTTTTTTTTTACACCTAAATGATGGTACACAATAAAATAGAAGTGGGTATCGCACTTATTTTTCAAGCTATGCTCACAAAATAAATGGATGAACAGACACAGGGAACTTCCAATTCCCCAATTCGCGCCACGAGGTAGGACAAAAATGTGTATGAAATTATTTACACTTATTTTCAGACGTAAAAATAACAAACATTTCTTCTAAATTAAAACTAATTTATATTCAATACACTTCCTATATAGATAACCTTCTTCTTTATTTTTTTTAACTATCCAGTGGGGAAAAACAGATAAAAGAGAATAAGCAAACAAACAAACAAAAGTTTTTGAAACTAAACAAAATTAAAATAAAACTGTAATAAGAAAGAACAGACAAAAAAATGTGAAAAAGTGTCATGTGACGTTTGGTACCTCTCTTTTCAGCAGTTTCACCTCCTCTGTGGCCTCTTCTAATCGCCCAGTCAGCTAGGGAAACAAAACAAAATACAAAGTGCACAAAAATATTTCTGAGTTAAAAAGATACATGCTGATATTTTGCCTAGTTTGCAGTTGGCCACAGATTTTCTCTAGTGGACTAATTATAAATTGATTCAACTGTAAAGCATTTGGAAGCTTAAAGGAAACAAAATGGCTCTAAACTTAGTTATTAGTTAACTATGAGGCACACAGATCACAATATATCAGTTTCAGACCAAAATGATTTCAACCAGTTGTAGGGAAGTACGATATTGGGTTTTTGGCCCATATCCGATATGCCGATATGTTAAAACTTATTTGGCCGATAACCGATACCAATACCGATATTTTTGTCCTTGGACCTACTTACAGAGATTACACAGCTTTCTCTGCTGTGGAATTAAAACACGGCATTATTCTGCATGATCGCTGTCATGTTGGCCTGCTACCAAATGCAGATGCCAAAAAGGGGGTTGAAAATGATGTCACACTATATAATAATAATATAAATATAAAAAAACCAGAGTATAAGAAACAACCATCAGTCGCCCTCCGTCAGCTCCATGAAAGATCTTGCCTTATGGCATATGTGTCAAACTCAGAGCCCGGGGAATAAATGTGACCCTCAATGACATCTTATCTGACCCCCAAGACGATATGTGAAACGTAAAATACTTCCATCTCTTGAATTGTTTCAGTAATCGTTGATTATGATGTTGAAAGCACAACAGAGAACTTCAAATGAGACCAATCAAACTCTTGTTGACCTGTAACCTGGGTATCTGATTTGAATTAATGTAGATTCTGAAACTGGCTCTTAGTTTGAAAAATGTTTTAATGTTGGCCCCCTTTTGTAAGAGAGTTTGACACCCCTACCTTATGGGGTGAAAAATATGATGACAAAGGTAAGGGGTCAACTCACAACTACACGAGTGATGTTTGAGTTAAAGGCCATCGGGACCATAGTCACCAAGGGCACATGTGATAACAAAGTACGTTGTAATGGCATCTACAAGGTACCCTTGCTCTAGAAGACCCGTCTTCTGTTTATTACTGAACATCTACAAGATTCAGCAAAGATTTAAGAAAAAGTGTTGTCCCTAGGTGAGACTAAAATTGAGCTCTATGGCATCAAATCAGTCCATTCTGTTTGGAGGAAGAGAAATTGTGTGACTTGAAGAAAACCATCCCCAGTTTAGTACGGAGGTGGAAACATTTCGTTTGGGGTTCAAATACTTCATCTAAAGATACGAAAATAAATTTTTAACTATTTGGAATGTGTTTTTTATGGAATTTTAATTAGTGCCATTATTTAGTATGTAGGCTTCGTCAGTCTGAGGCCTAGCCATCTAGGCCTCAGACTGACGAAGCCTCTTGGATGAGGGGCGAAACGTTTCTTTTTAACAAAAAAACGAAGTCCAGATGACATGATTCAACCTTTTTTGTTGTTATATACCTGGATGACTGAGAAAACAAACTTTGTGTTT